GAGTTAATAGCTGTACAGTAAACCCTAACTCTAGCCTCTAAAGTCTCTATAAACCCCAAATGATCGATACAGAAATCTTAAAAATGTTCATGTAAGCTAAATAAACAAGGGATCCGAATTTATCAGCTAACATGATATGTACTCATGAGATCACCGGTGAGCATACCGGATTGTACAATTGAGAAGTGCCTTTGTGAATCGGAGACGACGGCGGCGAAAGAAAAGCAGAGTGAAAATTTTAGATCGTCGACGTCGTTCTAAAATGAGCGGATAAATATTTATAAACCCTATGCTTTACCAAACCGAACCGAACCAAAACATTTGTGATCTCCGGTATGATGTTTTTAATTGACGTTACTCACATAAATATCTGTGTTACTAAACCAAACCCATAACAAGCAGAACAAAAACCGAAAACCCAAACCCAAAACCAGCTGAGATTCTCTTCGACCCGGAGAACCAATAATAATTATCTTAGAGCAAGTATGTAAGTGAGAACTGAGAGGTTAGAAAATCTAGTTTTGTACAAGATGGCCAAAAACAGAGTACCAAATCTCATAACACATTGGTGAGAAGAACAAATTCTTGCCTAATTATTAATTTTGAATTTTGATTTAGAAAGCCAAAAAAGTTGGGATGCTAAGTCTAAGCCAATGTTACAACAAGAAAGAGCAGAAAAAAAACTCTTAGCTAAGAAAACGTTTTGTCACATTTGAAAATTTCCTCAGTTTTTGATGTATAAAAACACTAAAGGAGGGTCATTTTTTCGTTGCTCTTTTTACTTCATGTATTCATGTATTCAGCGACACTCTGCGAAATATCGTCGAGGAAAGACACAAACCCCATGGCGCTAGCAAAACCGCTACCGTCCACGTCTTGTTCTTCTATCAGATAGTTCTCAAAAGCGGTAGCATCGTCATGTCCTCCTCGGATAAACATCAGTTTCGGTGTGATGCTCCTTTCTTGCTTCACTTGATTTATGGTCTTCCTCAACAAACCTGTAAGATAAAAACAAAACTGTGTCAAATAAACATAACCTATGAATTGGATTTTACTTTCAAGAGAGAAAAAACTTACATTCTTGAGGTGGAGGGAAAGGAATCGACGGGTCTGCGGTTGATGAGTAGAAGACGATCAAAGTTGTATACGCGTCTAGGAAAAATATCGGACTGCCACTTGTCATCAACGCAGCGCGGCTCAGTGAATGACGCGGATACGCCACTTGATCAGGTGTTGAATATGACATAAGCGTTGGGTATATCCCGCAATGAAGAGAGCTCGGCTCCAACACACTGCAAATTTCGAGACTTGACGTTTGAGACAGTTGTTCGGTTATTGATTGGTTTATTTGGGGGTGGTGGTTTTACCTGAAAAGGCATTGCAAGTAGATTCTGTAATCAGGATGGACACCTTCTTCGTGAAACCGGAGAAGGGGATTACGGAGTAAAGCGAAGACTAAACGAGGTAAAGGCTCGAGCTGAGGACATTGCGAAAACGTGATGTCGATCTGAGAGCTTATCGACTTGTTTCCGTTTTTGTAGGGAACGAGCTGAAAGGCGTCGTTGTATTGCGCTGTTAGGATTACTAGCCAGTCGTCAAGCAATGCACGCCCTTCTCGGACTCCATTCTCTAGAGAAGCTACAATTACCTGCAGGAAAATATAATTTACGAAACCATACATGACATAATTTAGAAGTTTGAATAAGAGATTAATAATATGAAATGACTTTTACCTTGTGAACGAGCAATGAGAGGACAACTTCATGATCCACGCTGTCGTAAATTTCGTTGATGTTTTTTGCAGTTCCAAATTGCATGGTTTTGATCCTTAGGCGTCTCTGAAGTGTGTGTTTGTCTCTGTGTAACATAGAACATATCAAACTTAGAAACGAAACACTACTAGATCCACTAGAACATGATATAGAAAAAAACACTATGAATGCTCCAGTGATTAAAAAATACAATGAAAGAGCTTATCCCCATATTAACCAGTTGTCCAGTGGTGTACAAACTCTAGAATGAACATTAACCAAAAGCTTTTGCTATGGATTTAGTCGTACCTACTTGACGATGACATTTCTGAATTTGACAGTCCCTCGGGAGGTACAACAACTGTGTACTGGAATGCAATTTGCACCACAGGTTGATCTCCAGAATGTCTGCAAAAGGTAATGAGGAAATTATAGGTTAGCAGATTCGAGTGCTAAGTCTACTTCTACTAAAATGCATAGCGTTTTTACTTCATTGATTCAGCAATTTACTTAAAAAGTTCTATAATCTAAAAACAAAACAGTAATATCTTGTTGCAGGTCAATGATTATTTACAGATATACCGAGAGAAAAAATAGAAATGAAAAATCAATGACTACACACTTTACAAAACCCTGCAAATGCATGGAAATAATTTGCATCCATTTAATCCCTTCTACTTAATCATGAAAAACATAATAGGAAAAAGCAATTCTTGATAGGCTTACTTGGCAAATCCAGTATTATCTGCAAACTCAAAGTCATAAGCATATGTTGCATATGAATCACAGCAGATGATATGCTGAATGTTCTCGTACTGTGGATCAGGAAAGAAGTGACCAAACTGCAAGTAAGGCTAAAATGTTAGATGAAGCAAAAAACAGAAAAAAAGAACATCATCTGAACTTTCGTTTCTCACTAAAACCACATACAGAGTTTCCAGGTTTAAATTCAGTTGACGTCCTCAATCTCAAGACGCAATTGAAAGCATACGGCCGATTAAGCATCCGAAACCTGGAAAACAACATCATACAATTCTGTTTCAAAAAATTTGGTAACGAGTGAAGAAAACAACAGCATGCGTTCTTGCTATTAATGTGGGAAAAAATTATGCTGGGTTAGCAACAGAACTAACATGTCTTGGGGAAGAGTCGAATCATCAGTGCTTGAATACAAAAACAGCGAGCCACCACTTTCGATGCTAAGGAACTTCAAGGATGCTAAATCTGTGTACTCGTTTGTAACTGCAAATACGTCTACACATACACCTGACTGGACAGCAATGGCTGCCTATAAAATAGCCGTCAGATCTACGCTGAAAATATAACTATCTAGGAGATAAAAAAAAAAAAAATTGAAATAAGACTTACTATGTCTTTGTAGAATGGTGTTTGCTCAGGAAGCAGAGCACGATCAGCATCTACGCGTTTACTTGCATATTGTTCACCATACCTACTCGTATCCAGTTGTCCACGTCCATAATCAGGAGGACCAGACAGGAAAGCAAACACCCTAGCTGCACTTATATCGAGTCAATAAAACACTCCCCACTATGAAACGTACTTGGTGAGGAGAAAACTAGACTATGTTGAAACATAATTGGTGTAGGCATGCTATATATTTTCACATACCTAACGCAAATGTACTCCCAAATTCAGATCCTAAGTAGTTGAAGAGAGCTTCCATTGCTGTACCAAAGCCTCTACCACCCATCAACACACCATCCATCCCTTGAGCTGCTCCAGATGATCTCCCCCAAGAAGTTATCGGTCTTAGTGTCTCAAGAGCAGCAGCAATACGATCCTTGCAAGTTTCTACCTGCAGGAAGTAAAGAAAGGGAACTTAGTCTGTCTACATGTGATCTAACAATCACTATGAATTACCAAGGAAGCAGGAAACAAGAAAGGAGGTGTTAAAAATGACAATACCGGAGCCAGAAACTGTAACAAGGGCATGGCATCCTCAAGCTCTAGAGGTAAGCTGCTCTCTGCATCAGGGGGAATAAATACATTCTTTACAACTGGTATAGGGCCTTGAACATCATACAGTCCTATTTTGTGGCTGAATGTAGCAAGCCCAAAAAGTGACCCTGGACTTAGAGCTGCAAAACAGAAAAATTCACCCTCAGAACGCAGTCACAGAGTCACACTGAAGAAATATTTAAATCGCTGCTTTAAATTTTGTATGACATGACCTTCCAGAGCAGCTAGCAATGCACTTTTTGTAAGCTCCAAAAATTCCTCAGAAGCTGCAGGTTGAAAAGTAGTTACGAGCAACATTAGAACAAGATGGTGGACAACACTCATAGTTAAATGGCAATGCAAAGTCCACTAACTCACAATTCAGCTACAATCCACACTAACGATGATGAGATAACCAAATATTTTGTATACAACGCAAAGAAAAAGTAATTATAAGCAACACAAAAGTGGAAGATCGGAACAGTAAGATCAAACAAAAACAT